GCTTGTAGCGGATCAACACCTGAACAGACTTCATGCTTGCGTGCGCGCGTGTGTGCGTATGTGCGCGGTGCGTGTGTGGAGGGAGGAAGCCAAGCAAGCCAGCGAGCCAACAGCAAGGTGGTGAAGTTGTTTGTTGCTGTTGCTTGTTGCTGCTGTTCGTGGTGTGTCAGCAGTGGTGATTGACGAATGATAAGCAGTGATTTTCGTCAATGCTGCGCCTTCTTCGACCACAACGTGCCCGGTGGTGTCGTTGGTTTGCTTCCAGAGGCAGCAGCAGCAGTGTTCTTCAACGTGCCCTTGCACCATCATCACCATCATTATCACCGTCGTGCTTCGGGTCTCAGCGACAGCTGAATAGCTTCTACAGTTACACCAGCAGCTACAGCAATCAGACCATTAGCGCTTACAGCACCAACAGCCTCGGGACTTCTGGACGTTTTACACTCCATCACCCGCAGTGGCTGTGGATGAAGCGTGGGCATCATCATCATCAGAGCGGCGGAGGAGACAACCACCACAAGAGCTGGAAAGGCGAAGGTGCGGGAAGCAAGAGTGTATGAGTGTGTGCATGTGCGTATGTGTGCATGTGCGTGCATGTGTGCATGTGTGTATGTGTGCATGTGCGTGCATGTGTGCATGTGTGCATGTGTGCATGTGTGTGTGCATGTGTGCGTGCGTGTTTGTCAACCTGCTTGCGTGTGCACATCTGTGTTTGCAAGTTTGCTGGGCGCCGAATCTCTTTCACGTCACTCTGCCCTTGACCATCCCTTTCTCATCGTACGATGTGCTTTGTGTAACAGGCGGCACGCGGCAGGTGTCAACATCCTCATCGCAAAGCATGGGATATCGTGGACGAAGCGCAGGCTACAACCGCGTATGTGCAAACGCGAGTGAAGTGCAATCTTTGCCCCTTCTTCCTTTCGTATTCGTTGCGTTTGCTGCAGCCAGTGCTCACTCCTGCTGCTCACTGTGCGGCTCTACAGGGCGGCGGACGTGGCCGCGGCGGTGGTGGTCGTGGTAGAGGCCGGGGCGGTCGCGGCAGAGGAGGTAGAGGTGGTCGTGGTGGCGGCGGTGGCGGAGATGGCGGTGATCGCCCTCCACCAGGACTTCGCGGCAAAGACCTTGGTATGAGACAAGGATGAGGAGTTGTGTGGTGGTTGCTTGGTGCGTAGCTGGGACCGTTGCCGACTGCTATCAGCTACAGACCTTTTCTTCATGACTTGATGAAGCACCACGTTCTTCACTCCATCCTTGCCCCTGCTGATATTTGCTGCTGCTGCTGGTATTTGCTGCTGCTGCTGTTGGTGACGTTCTGCTCACAGGCTTGTGGTATGCGCGTCGGGGCCGCGAGAAGAAGGAGAAGATTGAGGAAAGCACACGTGCACAAGTCAGGTGCGTGCACATGGGCCAACTGTGTCGTGTCTGACAACGGGCGCCATCGCTGTTCCACCCCTCGTCTAAGCCTCCCACAAACAAAATCTCGCCTCATGGCATCCCCGCTGCTGTGCATCTCACCCCATACGTGATCCGCGACGATGGCAGGCTGACGCGCGAGCAAGAGAGCAGCATCCAGCGTGTGCTCGGCGACGGCCGTGACCTCGACCTCCCGCGTGCTGACGTGAGCCCCCACTTGCTCCGATACGCGCGCGCGAGTGTGTGTTTGTGTGCGTGCGTGTGCGTGCGTGTGTGTGCGTGCGTGCGTGTGTGTTTGTGTGTGTGCGCGCGTTTGTGCGCGTTTGCGTGCGTGTGTTTGTGTGTGTGTGTGTGTGACAAAGGCTGGGGAAGAATCATTGACATCATGCAACCACATTGGCGTCATATCACGACTCACCGCTGCCGCTGCAATCTCTCCGACACGCACATTGCTGATCACGGCGGCTTGCCATCAGCCGTTCCGCACGAAGCACTACCACGATGCATTCGACCGGCCCGTCCCCGCGCTGCCCAAGGATGGTGAGCAGTGGCACATGACTGTTCGCTTGCTTGTTTGCTTGTTTGTTTCTCTGTGACTGTGCCGCTGCTGCCGCTGCTGGTGATGGTGGTGGTGGTGGTGGTGCTTGTATTGTCACTGTCGCTGTGGTGGTGGTGGTGGTGGTGGTGGTGGTGCGACAGTGCATGCGCCCAGCCTGCCAAATGAGAAATCATCATCATCATCATCATCATCATCATCATCATCATCATCATCATCATCATCATCATCATCATCATCATCATCATCATCATCATCATCATCATCATCATCATCATCATCATCATCATCATCATCATCATTGGCGCCTTGTTTCCTCACATGCTGTGCACTTTTGTGCGCTGTGTTGTTGATGATGTTGTTGGCAATGTGCCCTCGTCCATGCTCCAGAGGCCGCTGCTGTCTCCAAGCAGATTGCAGAGGACCACACCGCCAAGACAAAGAACGCGTCATTCGAGCGCCTGAAGCCCTTCCGCGAACGTCTTCCCTCGTTTAAAATGCGTGCAGAAGTGCTTCGCGCTGTTCGCGACAATCAAGTCATTGTCATCTCTGGCGAGACAGGGTGCGGCAAGACTACGCAGGTGCCCCAGTTCATCCTCGACGACTGGATCCAGGCCAACAAAGGTGCGCCATTGGTCGATTTTGAGAGGGGGGTGTTAAGAGTATGGCTGTGCTCTGTTCATGTGTTCATGTGTGTGTGTGTGTGTGTGTGTGTGTGTGTGCGTGCATGTGCGCGTGCATGTGCGTGTGCGTGCATGTGCGTGTGTATGCGTGCATGTGCGTGTGTGTGCGTGTGTGTGTATGCGTGCGTGTGCGTGCGTGTGCGTGCGTGTGGGGTTGTGTGTGATGATTTCAGCAAACTTCACGCACCGTCACCACCATCACCACCTCACCTACGTCTCATCACCCCTCCCCCTCCCTCAATCTACATCTCATGACCACCACCGCCATTAGGGGCCGACTGCCGGATTGTGTGCACGCAGCCGCGGCGCATCAGCGCAACATCTGTTGCCGAGCGCGTCGCTGCCGAGCGCGGCGAGCGGTGCGGTGGCGACACCTCCTCCACAGGCTACTCGGTACGTTGCTGCTGATGGTGGTCGATGGTGGTGGTGATGATGTTGGTGGTGGTGGTGGTTTGTGGTGGTCCAGTTGGTGAAGATAGTGTCTGAGAACTGCATGTTCATCCGATACAGTCGTTCTGTTGCCTTTTGTTTTTGTCCTTTTCCCATGACACACTCACGCTCGCAACCCGGCCGCCGCCATTCCTTCCCCTCTTCATCCCTCTATTCGTTGTCGTCTTGACAGATCCGCCTTGACAGCAAGCTGCCGCGCACGCGTGGAAGCATCACGTTCTGCACCACCGGAATTCTCCTCCGCAGAATGGTGTCAGACCCCATGCTGGAGGGCATCAGGTGCAAACACACACACACGTGTGCACATGCACGGGGTTGTTAGTGTTGCGGTTGACGTGGCTGGTGTTGCAGTTGACGTGGCTGATGTTCATCACCGCAGCGTGCGCATGTGTGTGTATGTGTGCATACGTGTGTGTTTGTGTTTCGCGACATCCTCTTATTTGTGTGAAACTGGCGCTGGTTGTACGCGCGTCCCCATGCATGCGTCTGCGCAATGCCTCTCGTACTGACCCCCGCCACTCCAATGCTCACACCTTCCTTACGCCTTCCCCACACCTGCTCCACCATGCATTGCCTCCTTGCGCTAACACGACGCATGCACACCATCTATCCCCCCGACCCGCTCCAATCTCCAATCAGTCACGTGATTCTTGATGAGATTCACGAGCGCGATATTCTGTCCGACTTTCTGCTCATCATCTTGAAGGACCTCCTTCCAAACCGCCCAGACCTCAGGGTATGCACGCACACACGCGCGCACGCACATGTGCGTGCACACACTTGATGACACAAGCAAGCAGTCGCATGCACATGCACACACGCGCACAAACTACACTCACGTGCACACACGCGCACACACTACGCTCACGCACACTGCACTCACACAAACGCCCACGCAACGATACACGCACGCAATTCATTCATCCATTGCCGCACAGGTGATTTTGATGTCTGCGACGGTGAATGCAGAGACATTCGCTGCCTACTTCAACAACGCCACCATGCTTGAAATTCCAGGTCAGTTCATGCCGTGCATTCGGCTCAGGGGACACAACTTGCTTGACTATGTGTTTGCATGTGCATGTGTGTGTGTGTGTTTGTGTATGTGTTGGTTTGACGTTCTGGTTATTCCTGCGACACAAACGCAGCCTGACACATGCCTCACCTCCTCTCTCTTTCTTCACACACACACACACACACACACACACACACACACACACACACACCACATACACGCGCGCGCGTCAGGCTTTGCGTACGATGTGGAGGAGATTTTCCTGGAAGATTTTATTGAGAAGACGCGAACGCAGATTGCCCCGCCATCGCGCTCGCCACGACGTACGTGCACCGCCATCACCACAATTGCGATGGTGGTGGCGGTGATGATCAGTGGTGGATTGGGTGGTGGCAATTGCTAGCCAAGCAATGTGGACTAGACACGACGAGAAGGCGCCCTTCTTCACCTCACACGCGCACACACACACACATTCTCTCTCAACCCGTCTTATGGACGCTCACCATGGCTCGCTTGTGCGCGGCTGCCACCCTGCGTGCGCGTGTACCGTCTTTAGGGCTGCGTGGAGAGGAGAGGGAGAAGTTTGAGGAGGAGCAGGACAACTACGACGAATTCCTGCACAGCATTCAGCCCGTGAGCTTGCAACCCATTCCTATCTTCCTCTCTGGGTTTTGGTTGATCTGCGCTATCTTCTGCGCGTGCCGTGTGTGTGTGTGTGTGTGCGTGTGCGTGTGTGTGCGTGTGTGTGCGTGTGTGTGTGGGTATGTTCGCCTACGTGCACGTTTGGCTGACGGTGCTACACATGGTATTACTTGCATGCATCGCTGCGTCGACCACATAGAAGTACTCCCGAGCCACGCTTGATTCCCTCTACAACTTCAACGCGAATGACCAGGTACAGCTGTGGCGATGACCCGTGTGTACTGTTGTGCGTGTGTTAGTGTGCGTGTGTTTGTGTGTTTGTGTGTTTGTGTGTTTGTGTGTGTGTGTGTGTGTGTGTGTGTGTGTGAGTGTGAGCGTGTGCGTGTGTGTGCGTGTGTATGCGTTCAGGACAAAGGTTATCATCAACCAGCGCCAGTCCAGTACTCTCACGTTCATGCGTGTTCCTCGCTTCATTCCTCACACCCTCCCTTCCACGTTGCCACGTTGCAGATTGACATTGACCTGGTGATGGGGGTGATTGAGCACATTGACAGCCAGGCGGCAGGCGCCGTGCTCTGCTTCCTCCCGGGCTGGGGAGAGATCTCAGACCTTCACAAGAAGTAATGCAGACATACTCACACACGCACACACACACGCACACACACAAACACGCACATACACACAAACACAAACACACACACACACACACACAAACACAAACACACACACAAACACAAACACACACACACACGCGCGCGTTCGTTTGCTCTTGGGGTTTCTGACTATTTCGTGTGTTGTGACTGTCCGTTTTTCCAATGCTTCGTGATGTATGCGTGTATGTGCGTTTTCGTCTGATTGTTCGCCTGCAAACGCTGAGAAATTGGTTTACTCCTCTCACTGTGTGATGATCACGTGCTTCGTGTTTCCAGACTGACGCAATCCCCGCGTTTTGGAAACGCCTCCAAGTATTGGGTGTTGCCTCTCCACTCCATGATTCCCCCACACGAACAGCGCAAGGTGATATCATGCGCAGTGACACGCATGAACCTGTGTTGTCGTGTTGCGTCGTGGTGGCTTGGCACCGTGCACTTTGTGTTTTGAGCATATGCATCACCAAGAAGTGGTTGTGCTCCCAGACATGAAACCCTGCACACACACACCAACCTTTTTACTCTCTGCTGATGCCAACCGTCATCTATCCCACACACACACACACACACACACACACACACACACACACACACACACACACACACACACACACACACACACACACACACACACACACGTCACACCACATCGTATCATGCACGTACACACATCCCACACGTACACACACGCTGCGACGATTGTCCGCGCGTCAGGTGTTTGACAACCCGCCGGCCGGTGTGCGGAAGATTGTTCTGTCGACGAACATTGCCGAAACGTCCATCACCATCGATGACGTCGTGTATGTCATCAACACGGGAAAGGCAAAGGAGAAGGTGGGGTACGCGCACATGGTTGAGCGGTGCTGGTGTTGGTGGGAATGTCAGTGTTTGTTGGCACTGGTGACGTTGTGGCAGTTCATGTGCTCGGACCTGAGCTGATGTATCACGAAGCCACTTCACCAACAGCCTCATCAACTGCATTGCTGCAACTCAATCCACCACATTTACAACCTCATCACCATATGACCATCACCGCTACCCTATCACTAACGCTTCAACACCCTCTCCCCCCTCTCTCCCCGCCTCCGCTGTGATGCCTCCACCAGAGCTACGACGCGACGAACCAGATCTCGGCGCTGCAGGCAGAGTGGATCAGTCGTGCGTCGTGCCGTCAACGCCGGGGCCGCGCCGGCCGCGTGCAGGAGGGTGCGCAGCCATCATGCGTGCATGCGCCCCGTGCTTGCACGCTTGTGTTTGCGGTTGTGTTTGTGTTTGTGTTTGTGTTGTGGTTGTGGTTGTGGTTGTGTTGAGTGCATGAGTTGCAACACTCGTCCGCTGCCGCCTTCTGCATGGCCCAACGTCATCCTTACGTCACGCCACATCACGACACCTTTTCCTGTTTGCATGCTTGGGTGTGCGTCAGGTGTGTGCTACCACCTCTTCACGTGCTACCACCACCGCAACATGAAGGAGTATCAGGTTCCAGAGATCCTGCGCACCTCCCTCGAAGAGCTCTGCCTTCAAATCAAGGTGCGATTTTCCATAGGGCGAGTGTGATGTGTTGTGTTGTGTTGTGTTGTGTTGTGTTGTGGTGTGGTGTGGTGTGGTGTGGTGTGGTGTGGTGTGGTGTGGTGTGGTGTGGTGTGGTGTGGTGTGGTGTGGTGTGGTGTCGTGTGCAATTTGTGAAGGCCCGTCCTCAGAACTTCGTCGCCACGACACTTGGCCTCCACATACTCACATCATCATCACCACCGCCATCATCATCATCACCGCCGCCGCTACCAATGCGGCCAGATGCTGCGGCTGGGCCTCGTGCGCCCGTTCTTGGCGAAAGCGCTGGATGCGCCAGACGACAAGACTGTCGGCCAGGCCCTCACGCTCCTACACAACCTCGATGCCCTCGACAGCAAGGAAAACCTCACCCCACTCGGGTATGGCCACGCGTGCAGCTGCAGGCGTTGTGTGTGTGTGTGTGTGTGTGTGTGTGTGTGTGTGTGTGTGTGTGTGTGTGTGTGTGTGTGTGTGTGTGTGTGTGTGTGAAAGCGCGTGTTTGTGCGCGATTTGGCGATGGTGTTCGTGTTGTTGAATTTC